AGGCAGCAGACATTTTATACACACACAATATATATATATATATATATATATATATATATATGCGAGTAAAGGTAATAAATTTGTTGGTATATAATCCAAGTGGATCCTAGTAATATAAAATATTAAAACTGATCCACAAAAAGAGCTCAACGTATTATAACAGAGCCAATAAACAGTATTACACAACAAAATCCAAAATTACCTCATCTGGAGGTGGGGGATGGATTTTTGTCAGTTGAAATAGATCTATCCTCCTATGAGTTAATTTGGGATCCCAGTCGAATCCATTATATTCACTTACGTGCTAATACTCTTGGGAAACATATTAATCCTCTTCTTCTCCTTCCAGCTATGGGTAAATAGCAGGACAGACTGGGTTCTATAGACTTGGATGGCAACTGGTCTACCACAGTAAGAAATGGCAACCTACTGCAGGAAAAAAAAAACTGCTTTGTCAGTCATGTATCGAAAGATACATGATCACCTAAGTGTGTATCATGTATGGCACATAACTGACTGATAATAAATTATGCTTTTGCTATTGTCTTTTTTGGTTTTTATTTTTTTAACCTGTAATTAATATTGGAATTTTATTTTTTTTTATTTATCATTTTTTTTCTTAGAAACCTATAAATTATATGGGAGATTTTTAAAATCAATATTACTGGAAAATTGGTTCACTGTGTCATGCCAGATAATTGTTCTTGTAAGAATCCATATGTCTTTTCTATAAATATTTTCATGGTAGTAGTTCTAATGAGCTCTCCTTCTTGGTACTTCGACCACATGAATTTAAGTGTACTACTTGAATAGCTAGATGTAAAGAACTCTTCTAATTTCTTGCTTTCCTGCCACCTACAATCTTCAAAAATTTAAATGCAATGTCAATCACCATCTTCTGTCTTCCTGAATCTTTTTCTTTTATTGCCTTTCTCCTCACTAAAGTCTTCTCATTCTCTTTCACTCAGAATAACCTCCTGCGTCTTAGTGGCATTATTGCCATCTATCTTCCTGGATCCTGTTATTTTATTGTCCTTTCTCCTCACTAAGGTCTTCTCTTTCTTTTACACTTCTAGTAACAACTAGTGTCTTACTGGCATCTTTGCTTGTACTTGGACTCAGTAGAAATGAGTGAGCAATAACTGAGCATTACTAAAAATAAGAACTAGATGAGTCACTCCAAGACAAGAACAGTCTACTCCTAAAGATTAAATAAAGGGTTCAGTTCAGAATTGCCTGTAGATTACTCAGATGGATATACATCAGATGAAGGCAAGAGAGCACAACAACTGAAACGTTGTGGTTACACGAACAAAGATGATGACAATAGTCTGGGTGTAAATAAAGAATGTATAATATTAAACCCAATCAAATTCAATTCAAATAAATCTGAAATCCACAATACAAAAAAAACTATTTGTAAGAGTTCAAATATCCAAGGTCATAGTGAATGTGTTAATAAATATTTTTTCATTTACCAGCATAAAGTATAAGTAGTTTTATATATCAATTTCTGGTTGTAACTAACAAAAACATTGATGGCATTATATAAAGGTTCAAATATTCAAAGTTGCAATGAATGTGTTAAATGTTTTTTTTTGTGTGTTGACATTATTATTTTGACATGTCTCCTTCTAGTGCCGCACCTTGTGACACAACAGCGCATTGTGTTACTTCCTACCCGCCCTTTATCAATCTGTACTCTAAGACCTTATTAGAAAAGAAACAATATTCCAAATTCAGTAACCAGACACTGTCGTTATTTTATATTGGTGTATCAATTCAAGTCCCGGTCACTATAAATATATGTACCTCCACACACACACACACATATATATATATATAGAATGACATGCACATATGCAAATTTTCTAACAAACGTATATACAAGAAGTTAGACAAATCAGTCCACATACACAGAAACAATTGCAGAGATGAATATATATATGTACACACACACATTCAAATATTCACTTACTCACACCTGCAAATATCTGTAACAAAACACATACAAAATTATATGCAGAGAATTCATATATATATATATATATATATATATATATATATATATATATATATAGAGAGAGAGAGAGAGAGAGAGATGCACATGCACAATTAACTTTGTATATAATTATTTTCAGGGTTTTGAACGGAAAACACACACACAAACTTTGAGCTTTATATATTAGATGAGAAAATTGCTTACATTTTGGTTTTACATATTCTTTTATAATTAAGAAGCCTTGTATATAAAAGTCATTTTTATGCCATCAGTTTTTAGTTTTATAAGAACAGAAAACCGATCCACCACCAACCCCTAAAGAGACTAAAAAATAGTCCCAAACCCTTTTAAACTTTAGCACTCTGCTTTATTAATATTACTTCCCAATGCAATCTTTTCCAAGGGCTCTTATTTGCAGTATCCTTATTGTTAATTTCACTCAAAGTTGTTTTCTGTTGTCATTGAAGGATATGACAACACAACTATGAAATTCAAACACTATTCTTCAGGGATCAAGGTCACCTCCAATGACAGGGTAACCTTTTTGTATAGCAAATGAAGTCACAATCGAACTGATAAAGCTTAAGTAATGATTGTTTTATGCTGATATATTTTGCATGATTTGCAGGTGGTATTTGAGATGTGCAGGAAATGTAATGGTTAGCAGCTCAGAACAAGAATTTAACAAGCCAAGTTCAAATTTTGATTGAGGTATTTTTACTTTCACAAAAATACCACTGGAAAAAGCATGAATCCATTTCATCTCCCCCCACCTATTACAAATAGCAGAGCAATTTGAGCTCTCTAGCCATGGTTGGCACCCAATCTAAGAGAAGACAAAATATATCCTTGGCAAATCACATCTGTCATGGTGTTCTAGTGATGAGATGACCTTGTATGAATGTTATCTCATATATATATATATATATATATATATATATATATATATATATATATATATATACACACACACACACAGAAATAAAGAAATTTTGCTTATCTGTTGGTGACAACATATTTTATCCCAGACTGTCTAGAACAGCTGCCTTCTGCAGTGATCAGAAAAAAAATACAGACAGTTTGAATTTTTGTTTCTTTTGGCAGTAAAATACTTGTTTTGATGCATCATGGGAGTAGTCTATATTTAACTTATTTAATCTGACTTTATCTTTGTTTATTGTTACTTACCATTCTTAATTATTGTTAATTACCATTCTTATCTGTATTTTAAAGTATTTTTTTACTGCATAGCTTTTAATTTATCTTTCATTATTATTAATTATTTTGGTTCCAGACTATTACAGTCTTGTAATAAAGGTTGTGGGTTATTTTAAAAACCAGTCCCCCAAGGCTCATGAGTTTGATGAAGGCGTTCCCCAAAGCTCCCTTCTTGTTCCAACACTTCCTGTTTTACATTACTCATCATCTGAAGAATATACAGAAGATACAACGGTATACTGGGTGTGATGGATAAAATGTCATCTAAATTACACAAAAATGAAAACAACATTGACTTTTCATTTTAACAGATATATTTACACAAAATTACACAAATATATCTTGAATACTAAACAGTGAATAATTTATTCAATAAAAATTGCCTTTGGTGTAAATTATTTTGGTTCCAGACTATTACAGTCTTGTAATAAGGATTGTTGGTTATTTAAAAAGGTTTTTTTTTTTTTGTTAATCATTTAACCCCAAACAAGGAGACAATGCCACTAGAATGTGCTTGTGTGGGGGTTACAGGGAGTGAAAGTGAAAGAAAATGAGAATGGAGAAGATTGAGGGAAGAACAACATTTGAACAGAGTTCAAGAAGTTAGAAGATGGTGATTGATGCTGCATTTAAATTTTTGAAGATTGTAGTAATCGGGGAAGTAAGAAATCGGAAGGGAGTTCCACAGGCTGGAAGTGTGAGAAAAAGAACTGTTACAAGTGCCACTTCTACTCTAACAGTTCTTGAATACTGTCACCATATCTGGTCTGGTGTTCCTACTGTACTAGTTCAACATTAAAAATGGTGAGCCAATCTAGTAACCTGCTTAAATTCATGTAGACTGGGCATCAGGAAAAAAAGCTCATTTGAGCAGTTGCTATGAAGATATTTGTAGAACAGACAGAGAGAAGACACATAACATTGGTGAGAAAGTGACAGGTGACAGGTCAAGATTGATTATATTGCAGACCCTTCTCTGGATATTGTCAAGAATCTCAAGATGTACAGTAGGAACACCAGACCAGATCTGAATCCTCTGCACTTTCTTCAGATTAACATCCAAACACTCTGAAATGTTTGTATTGGAGCTTCCAGCATGAATGCCAAGCAGCACAGCATGCTGTTTCCAAATTTCTGGCAGTGTGAATTGTGTCATGGTGCTCTTTTTCTCACAGACAGTGCCCAACTGAGCCTACTATACAGTTCAGTTAACAAAATCAAAAACAAACAACATGCATGTGCAAAATTAAAATTATAAAATGGCACAATTTACCCTTCGCACACAGTGTGTGTGTGTGTATATATATATATATATATATAGAGAGAGAGAGAGATAAATAGCAAATTCCTTGTTTGTTGGCACTAAAGTCTGAAAGAGTTATTATCTAAATATTTAAAAATAAAAATTGACATTAAAATCAAAATCTCACATCATCCGGTTCACCTCCTCCCCAATCTTTTGAACAGGAGTAGAGGTTCATCCATTGTTTCTTGTTTAGGATTGGGTTTTAGTTCCTTCTAAAGTTTTCTCATTCCCTTTCACTCTCAGAAGCCTCTTGCTTCTTAGTGGTATTATTGCCTTGCTTGGGGTGAATTGATTAAAAAAATAGACTTTGAGAAAGAGTAACAAAAAACTTATAATTAGCATAAAGAGGTAAACTGGAAAACAAAAATGGGAGAGAAGAAAAGAAAAGTGAAATTAAGACTGACAAAATTTTATGAATTACTACACAAATGAATGGCAGCAAAACTAAGACAACAAAAATTTAAAACTGCTTACCTTTGGAATATCTTTAAAACTATCAGCTATTTTGATCTTTACACCACTTAGATCTTGAAGCCAACCTGTTCGACCTGAAAAATAAAAGATTTCACTATTAGCTTTGTCTTTCTGACAAATATATATAAGTGGACACAGAGTGGTGACAATCTGTTTCATGCCTGAACACAATCTTCAGGCCTAGTGTGAGATCATGTAACAATTTTTAAACAAAGCCTATACTTTTGTAGAAGAAAAACACAATTTACACAGAGATAACAAATTAAAGCCAAATTTATAGAATTATTAAAACACATATGTCTAACTACACACCAATTTTCATCTAGCTACATCACACACATGCCACACACTACTCAAAACAAATTTTAAAGCAAACACAAACATACCAGAGTGCTGGCCATTACTGACACAACTCTTGCTAACCACTCCTACACACACATATATATATATATATATATTGTGTGTATTTTGGCAGCATGTTTTCCTTAAGACATGTCTCATTAAATAATTTAGACAAGTTTTGTCTACTTACTTTCCTCTCATAATAACAGACATATTAAGGGAAGAAAGAAAATTACCATATTGATGCATATTCATTTTATTCTGAGTACTTTCAACATTAGCACAATGTCATCATCAGGGTGGTGTTTTTTCTAAGATATCTACCACTACATCTGTGTGTTTTTCTTTACATAGGCTATAAAAGAAGCTGGAGAGAGCAAAGGGAGACTTCACACATGCATACCATAGAGGCTACCCGAGACCATTAGGCTGTGAAAACTACCTCCTATCAACACAGAAAGAGAACTGACTTCACTATTAATGCGACAAGCCCAAACTGATAACCAACAAGTAGTCAGTTGTATTAAGCATACTCTTTTTCATGCTCTCATTTCATACTTTGTACATTCAAGAAACATTTTCATTTCTTTAAAATGAAAATAAACCTTTGGTCATTTCTCCAAATCAGTATCTAATCTGTTTCTTTACTCCAACCATCTTCCACCTCGGATCCACCAATATATATATATACACACACACACACACAGTAGGCAAAAATTTTGGAAGCACACTCTGGATTTAGAAAACTCACTGAAAAATTGTAGGTTGCACTACCTTGCTACCCATAATGCACCGTTGGCCAGCATATAAAAATAGTTAAGCCAAAGCACAACACACATGACCTAAAGATTGTGTTCAAGTATGAAACAAACTTTTGCCACTTGGTGATGAACCCGATGTCCAATATTATATTTACATACACTATCCCCAATATTGATACTTTTACCCATAAATATATATATATATATATATATATATATATATATATATATATATATACACACACGAGATAAAAATCAAATGCAAATATGAATCAGAATCCAACAGGATAAAAAAATAAACGAACTGATAGGAAACATATCAATCTAACATATTTCACTTTTATTAAAGCTTTGTCAGATATTGAGAGAAAACAGATTTATATACTTATATATGTATATATGCATTGTATCCTTTAAGAGGTTACAAGCAGATAAAGGTGGTACTTGAGTGAAGGAACAGCAACATGTGCTTAGATGAAAGAAGAGAGGTTTATTGTAAAAGAAAATACACTACTGAAAGACAGGGAATCAGGTGGCAGGCTAGTAATTCCTGAACCAAGGTTATTTATTTTACCTCCCTGCAAGGCAGGATGTGCCACAAGGCCATTTTTTAATGTGGGGCAAAACCGAGCCCATATGCTCGTGCAAAAATTTCCCATATACTCTGTATACAAACACAGACGAGAGACTGCCCTTCGGCAGAGTCTTGTCGTAGTTCCTCTCTGCCATCAGTGGCCCACCAGCAGGCCACTAGTGGCTTGTGTGTAGGGAGAATCACAAAGAACTATACCAAATAACAGAAGCAATTTGAGGATTTTTAACAGCAGCAACAACTAAGATGGAGAGTGCATGTAACCTGAAGGAAAAAATAATGACATAATCAAGATGTTAATATTGTTATGATTACAGGAAGAAAATGCAAGAACAAATCCTTGAACATAGACTTAAAATATTTGTATTGAGTTTTAGATACTTGACATAACATAATATTTGAGGATTTGAATTTAGTAAATTCTAAACAGTGTATTGATCAGTCATAATAAATTCAGTGTCGGTAAAAAGGAAATTAAATATAGAATAGGCTTCACTAGAGGTACTTCTGCCTAATACCACAAATTGTTGTAAAACCAAAATATCAACCTGTTCTTAAATAGCCTCGTCAGATCAAGACTTTCATGTGGATGTCATGCATGACACCAAACTCATTCAGAAATATCTAAACTGCCAGTTGTATGCAACCACTTTCTAAGAACAATGGTTAAAAATGGCTTTGAGTGAGTGAAGCATGAGAGTCTTGGCAAAGATATTCCCCTCTTTGAACTTTATGGACTGACAATATATAATCATAAAAAACTAACAAATATGAGTAAGTTGGAGAGAAAATAATGGCATAATAAAGATGTTGACATTCCACACTACTTCAAGCAAAAATGTTAAGGAGGAAACTGATCAGTAATTGGAAGCGTGATAGCAGTTACTGGACTTAGGAAACCTATTTTCCAGAAAAATGGTTTTAATAGAAAGATTTTATAAATTTCATCTAACACTAGTACTGGCTGTTCAGTAAATAAATGCTGAGTGTTTTAACTATCAGGAACTGGCTAGTATTGTCATAAGAGGAATAAAATGCGAGAATAAATCCTGAATATAGACTTAAAATGTTTATATAAAGTTTCAGAAACTTGAATATATCCATCATAATATTTGAGGATTTAGTAAATAAATATTTGGATTTAGTAAATACTAAACAGTGTATTGATCAGTTATAATAGATTTAGTGTCAGTAAAAATGAAATTGAATATAGAATAGTCTTTGCTAGAAGTACTTTTGCCTAAAACCACAAATTGCTGCAAAACTTAAATATCAACTTGTTCTTAAATAATCTCGTCAGATCAAGATTTTTGTACGGACTTCATACATAACACCAAACTCATTTAGAAATATCTAAATTGTCAGCTGTATGTAACCGCTTTCTAAGATCATTTTCTTTTCTTTTTATGTACCATGTCCCTTCAGGATGTAGGCGATCATGGCTCCCCACTTCCCCCTATCTCTTGTAGCTCTCAATAAGTTTAGCCCCTCTGACACCTCCCCCAGACCATATTCTGTCATCTGCTTGCTTAAGCCAGCCCCAGGTATGACATGTGTTGCTTTCTCTTCTCTCTCTATTAGACCTGTGAGTATCAGATTCTCTAGGCCCTCCTTTCTCATTACTTGTCCCAGAAATTTCATCTGCCTCTTCCTGATGTTAAGTTTAAGCTTCCTCCCTGCTTGCATCCTCTCCAAAACCTCATTGTTGCTCACATGCTCAGTCCATGATATCCTTAGCATCCTTCTGTAGAACCATATCTTTGTTGCCTCGAGTCTCTTCATCTTTGAGGAAACCATCCAAAATTCGAGGACAGGTGTCATGTAACAGCTCAGTACTCTTTGTTACCAAAGAAACCCTGTTTCACAATACTCAGCCCAGAGTAGTTAAAAGTGGCTTTGAGCGAGTGAAGCATGAGGGTCGTCTCCTTTAAATATTGTGGACTGGCACTACAGAATCACAAAGAACTGTACCAAATAATAGAAACCACATCACTTGAGGACTTTCAACAGCAGCAGCAACTAAAATGAATAGCACATGTAACTCAAAGAGAAAATAATGATATAATCAAGATGTTGACATTTAACACTACTTCAAGTAAAAGGTTAGGAAGGAACCCCCCCTCCATCAATACTGGAAAGAGTGATAACAGCTACTAGACTTAAGAAACTGATTTTCCTGAAAAATTGTTTTAAGAGAACGATTTTATAAATCTCACCTGAAAGCAGTACTGGCTGCTTGGTCAATAAATGCCAAATATTTCCTCATAGGGAAACAGTTGTTATTGTCATTACCAATAAAGAGAGAAGAATCTTGTCTTCAATGAATGTATAAAGAACTCTGCGAAAAACAATTATCTCTCTTTGAGAAATTCAACAAACCCATTGCCTACTCTGAGTCCTAGAAACTAACAAGGCTAAGGGAAATTGAGTCAGGATATTATCAACTTAGAGAAAATAATAACATAATCAAGACCTTAACATTGCATGCCATTTTAAATAGGTTATGATGGAAAACCCAATCAGTACTGGAAAAAGCAATAATAATTACTGGACTTAAGTAACCTGTTTTCCTGAAAAATAGGTTTAAGAGAAAAATTTTATAAATTTCAATCAAAAGCAGTAACGGCTGCCTGGTCAATGAATGCCGATGTTTCCTTATAGGAAAACGGCTATTATTACCATTACCATTCATAAAAGAAGTTATAATTTGGCAAACACTGTGAGGATTTTTTGATATCTTCAATTAAATCAGACAAGAAGTATTGTGTTTATTATTTACATTATTCTGACTATTGTTCTCATCTTTGTTGCCATATTTATTACGTTTCGGCCTCAAGGACATATGGCACAGTGGATAAAGGCATTACTTAGATCCAGTGACAGGACCCAAAAAGTGTGAGTTCAAAGGCAGTGGAGAACTTTCAGAGGGATATTACCAGGAGATAACTGATATCCATTAAACATGGCACATGGAACTAGAACAGCCTACTCCAGTGAGTGAAATAAAATGTTCAGTTCGACATTCCAACCACCTGAAGAAGGCCAGAGCGTACAACGGCTGAAACGTTGTAATAAATATGGCGACAAAGATGAGGACAATATTCCAAATAATGTACATAATACCTCATCTCAGAAATATAGACAGATACTGAGTGTTGTGTAAAACTGTGCTTGTCAATATAATAGGTCTGATGAAATAAACCAATAAAATCATAAAAAAATGAAATAGCAAAAAAACAAAATTAATAAAACTGCTACAATTTTTCACCAATAATTCAAATAATTGTTTAGTGTTGTTCATAGCTGACATGTGCTTTTTCAAACACTATTTTATACAGTCCCCAAAATAGTTATTAAATACCTGTGTTAAATTTACCAT